CACATAATTTATATGACATCTTAAAAGGACTGGTTTTGTGATGGTATTTATTTAATTTTTGGTGGTGCTGGGGATTGAATGCAGGGCCTCACACATTCTAGGTAAGTGTTATACCCTTGAGCTACACCCTCGGCCTTGGATTTATGATTGTCAGTGCCAAACTGAAACTAATTTTTATGGCTTAATAATAGATGCACATAATAAAATATTTGGAAAGTACTGAATAATATAATAATAATTCAAAATTCCTGTAATCATTGGTAACATTTTTTTACTTTTCATCATCATTCTTTTTCTATGCATACATTTTCTGTATATGTAATTGCTGTTATATGTTGAATTTTGTATTCTTTTTCCTTATCTTAAATACTTTCCCATGTCATTAAAATTCTTGTATCATTTTAATAGCTGTTTTATAGCCTGTTGTGTGGATGTCTCATAGTTTATTCAACCTTACTCTTTTTGCTAGGCATTTAGACTGAAATTACTCATGAACATTGCTCCTGTGAACATCAGTCCAGACTCTAATATACACAGAGTGCATTCTCTGCCTGTATGTAAAGATGTAACTATTTACTGAAAAGTCTGAATTTAGTGAAGTAAAAACATGAAATACCTTTTTCCATTCTGTGTTTCTAGCCATGTCTAGTACTACTTCCCTTCTCTGTCAGGCATAGGCCTGTTAGCTAGATCTTCTAGCTTCCATGGTTGTTAATAATTAAAAGTGTAGACAATCTAGTTCAGCGCTCTAATCTCATGGCCAAAGACTTCCCTTGCCCTGTTTGGAGCCAGGATTTTACCAGGATTTTATGACTCTTGTGACCTGAAGTAGAGAGGGTTTTTAGACTTTGGAGTACTCATTTCTCAGGTATTTTGCCTCTAGAGCAGGCCTAACTGCTCTGGAATAGAGGCCTAGGAAGGAAAATAGAGGGAAAAGGCCAGTGCCTCAGCTTACCTGTGCGCGTTTGTGTTCGCTGTTGTGATTAGTGCTACTTTTCTGGCGTCTCTTACTAGCTTCATGTCCTTTGAATTGCACGTCCCCAGTCGGTCTCCCCTTCTTGCAGGTGCCCTTCTGTCTCTACACATGAGTCCCTCGGAGTCTTACCACCTATCTTGGCTTCTGTTTTTGCTAGGAGTAGTTATGGATTATAGTAGGACCTTTTTGGTGGCCATAATTGTTTTTTTGTTTTAAGTACATAGGATATTACATTTGCGTTTTTTATTTTCAGGTTTGGGCCTTGTTATCAGTCCTAAAGAAAAGTATTTCAGATGCATATGTAAAATTTACATTAGCTGTTGAAACTATTGCCAAGCATTTTTCCTACTGTTATTTTTAAGTGGCAGTGTAATTCTTAACCTGAAAAAACATGTATTTTGCCTCATCTGCATAGTAGGTACTAGTAATAAACTAAAAGTCTATCAGCACCCCGAAAACCTTTCTTTTAAATAAAATAAAACAACATGAAACAAAAAGCGTTTTTCCTTTAGCAAAAAAATAGTGGTTGCTTGTGCTTGCAAAATTCATTTCCTTAAGCATCTTCAATGTGTTTTCTACTCCATAGGTCAATAAACTGTGGGCTGTGGGTCAAATCCAGCCCTCTACCTGCTTTTGTAAAGTTTTGATGGAACACAGCTGCACTCAATCATTTATGTATTGTCTGTTGCTTCTTTTGTGCTACAACAGCAGAGATGAGTAGTTGTAACAGAGCCCACTTGGCCTGCAAAGTGTAAAATTCTTACTTTACAAATATTTACAAAGAAATATGCCAACTCCTGTTTTATACCATTTTTCTAAAATTCTTCCTAAAACATACCAGATAAACTAGTATCTGCTTAGAAACATTAAATAGTTCTTCACTGCTAACAGAATATATCCTAAAACCTTTGCACATAAATCCCTTTGCATCTAGTCCCAAATCACTTCTCAGGTTCAAATTTAGTATTTCCTGATATTTTTAGTGGGCCAACCTTACAACCACCATTACAGATTGGCAGTTTACAGGGTGAATTTGACCCCTACACTTATTTTGTTGGGCCCAAATAGTGGTTCTGTTTTGTTTCATTGAATTAGGATTTAAAAACTGGATCCAAATCTGGATACATATCCAGATTTGTAGCTGTTTTTGACAAGTTAGGAGTTGTGATGACACTGGCTCCACAGCCCCTGTTAGTACCACCTGCCTTCCGCACACAGGGTGGTTCTCCATCTCTGTGTGACCTGTATCATGCAAAGTGGTCTGTGCATGTGCACTCAAATCCCATCTTCTAGTTGTGCCTCTTCTTTATATATAATGCACTGCCTCATACCCCCGATCCACCTCATTTTCATATTGCCTCATGCTGGCCCCTCTACCTGGAAGATCATCTTTGGCCTTTGAAACTCTTTTTCCTTTTAATACTCAACTTAAATATCACCTTTGTGAAGCCTTTTCTCTGTGCCCTTATAGCACTTGTTCATCTAATTAGAGAGTCACCTGTCATGCTGTATTTTAGTGACTAGATTATAAGCTCCTTGAGGGCAATGTTTGTATCTTACTCGTTTTTCTATTTCTAATTCCCAGCAAGTTGCTTGACAATGAGTTGAAATCTAAGTGAATATATTTCCCTCTTGAGTGAATATTCTTTTCCTTTTGAGTGGTCTCGCATAGTTTCCTTTTTCTTCCCCTTAGTTTACAACAAAGTCATCTGTGTTTTTCAAACAACTGATACTTCATTTTTCGTAAGGATTGCCAACATGTTATAGCTAGGTTCAGGGTGAGAGTAAAGTTTACATCAATGTTTGTCTGCCCAAGAGCTCATACACATGGCTGCTGGGCCACTCCTTACCATGTATGTTTTCTTGGATAAGATGAAGTTTTCTAGGTCTCAGTTTCTAATTATACGTGAGGGACAATAAGAATAACTACCTATAAAGTTCTTGGGAGAAATGAATGAGAATATGTAGATCTTAGAGCTGAACCATAATATGTACTCCATAAATGGAGTTGTGTTGTCAATTATTGTCATTATTGCTAGTTATTCCATAGGAGGCATGCAGATAACCTTTCTTTTCTTGGTTTAGTATGTTAAGAGCCATGAGGCTAAGAGTATTAGTCCATCTGCAGAAGACGTCTGCTAAGCCACATTTTCTATAATCTTAGACTATTGTATTTAGAAGGGAGTTTGGAGGTCAGGTGATTTAAAAAGTACTTATCTAAAGCAGCAGTCCTCTCTGCAATTTCCAGTTAGAGGTGACCAGTCATCTATAGACTATCAGAACACTATAGTGACAGAAGCTGGCTTCATAAGAAGGAATGTTGTTTAAAGATCCTTTATATGGAAAAGGGAATATCTGAAAGTTAAAGCAAAGAGGTAGAGGCAAAGTTCACCTGTATCCACTGAGCCCTTACCCTAACATGTTTGGTAAAAATCTTCCATAGGAATGTTAAACAGAAAGTAGGAGTCAGTCAACAGCAGTCTTTTCTTCAGAACATCTGTGCTACAGAATGAGAAATAACTATTTTGTTCTGCAGTAGACAGTTACTTTAGCTAAACGTAAATAGTATTGTGATCTTATGTAGTCAATTATGAATATTCCTTCAGAGTCAAGCCAATCCCTGTTTCCTGCTGTCCAAATCATATACTGTGCTAGCAGATAATAATTTCCCCTCAAACAAAGGTCTTTCCTAAGACCCCAAAATGTTACTGCATAGGAAAACACTATCAGAAATGCAGAGTAGCTGAGAAGCTTGCAAGTTTTGTTTCCTGAGGTAGGATCAGCTCAAATTTCCTATGCAAGTTTTGATAAAACTAATGAACACTCAGTACTGATTATTATCAGAAGCCAACTAAATAATCATAGTAATTCCCATAAAATATGTAACTTTTCCCATAATTTTGCACAGTATTTAAAAGGATAGAACAATGTAAACTATTTTTAAACATTTTTGTATTTTAAAAACCTTAAGGGGCTAAGAGTACAGTTTAATGGTGACAGAGTCCATTGAGGCCCTGGGTTCAATTCCCAGCAACCTTCCAAAAAAGAAAATTTAAAATCACTGAAAGTATCCTAATAATGAAAGTTTCAGGAAGCATAATTGTTTTGCATTTCTTTTTTTTTTTTTAATCATTGTCTCCATTTATTTGACATTAACAGTGGGGATTTTATTTTATTTTATTTTTTTTCATTTTTCTTTTATTATTCATATGTGCATACAAGGCTTGGTTTATTTCTCCCCCCATTGTTTTGCATTTCTAAAGTATGTGGTGCTGTTTGACCTTACTATAAGAATCATAATTTAGGACCACAAAAAGTATACTTACAAAAATAGAAATTTAGTGTATATAGTCTAACAATACAGGCCAGGTTTGTTTTAAAAACAATATGTTGGTCTTGTTGCTTTTCCTTTTATTTTCCAAATTTAAGGTTGCCATAGGTCTTCAACAAAGGGTTAAAGAACTTATTAGAGCTGTAGATGGTCACTTCAGTTGGTAATAGAGAGAATAACAAGTTGTCATAAAGTGAAGAATTAAGAGAGCACTGAAGGATAATGAGGGCACATGTTAGTACCCTTAGCCCTCCTCCCCCCCTTTTAAACGTAAAGCATGTAAGGGGAAAGCTGGGGCATGGTAGCACATGCCTGTAATCCCAGCTATGTGGGTGGCAGAGATCAGGAGGATCTCTTATAAGGAAACCCATTAATAATTTCAAAAGGAAACATAATGTGTTGGAATGGGTAGGGGGAATGGTTAGTGTATCCAAGATATGTTTGGGGGCAAATATTTGAAATTCAATGAGCCTAAAGTGTAATAACTTCAAAACATTTTGCCATAATATATTCTACAAGGTAATTAAATCTTGACACCTAAATGTAATATTCTAAATGCAGAGTTAACGGTTTTTTTCTCTTACTTGATAGTTGCATTAAGTGAATATTTGAAAAACAGCTTTCCAGAATTAACCAGATTGTATTTCTTTTCACTTTCCCATTATTAATGTTGTGAATATCCTTTTCTTTCAGTTGAATATGTCAAGTGACCAGATTGCTGCCAATCTGCAAGCAGTTATTAATGAAGTTTGTAGACATAGACCGTTGAATTTGGGTAAGTGACTTGCAGACAGATTTCCTTATAGTCCTGTGATACTTTTAAAAATATGAAATATCAAGAAAACAAGTTGACAAGTATAATAGCGGCAGTATTTCCAGAAGTTAAATAAATAAATTTTTAATTCTGTGAAGGATTCCTATTATTAATGTCAGGTTTTAAAGAGGGACTGCCTTATTATTAATAAGGGATCTATCCTGAAACCTTTATAAATTCCCACATTATTTCAGCCATTAAATCTGAAAAGATTTGACAGAAAAGTTAACTGCTTGCGATAGTGATATGAAGTGATATTTTAAAGTAGATCATTCCCTTCATCCCAGACACTAGCAGCTGGCTTTCTTAATCTTACTTATTTTAGGAAAGTGTGAAGGCCATTTTTGTCATGTGATGAGAGTCACTTCTTATAAACAGGGTGATTCGTGGAGAAACACTAAACTTGATCAAGATGTGCCAGCCGTGTAGTTGGCTAGAACACAGGCTAGTCCAGCACCTTTATCATTGCATATGCTGTTCAGATCCCTTCGTTAGACAGACTTGTCAATGTTTAAAGCCAAGCAAGGATCCATTGCATTTAAGTGGATGTTCATTTATACATTTACCATGATAGGAGTTTGTCAGGTTTAATTTTACAACCATGTTAATAATTAAAACAAATCTTAAGCTACTTTTCACCTCCTTGGAAGTGTTTATTAAATACCTTATTTGTTAGTTTTATTTTGTCCCATGTATGGCCATAATACTTAGTAATTGTATGGGAATGACTTCTTACATTCCATGAAGCACTTTGATTGCAGTATAGGCTCTTCTGAGACAGAAAATCCTCTCAGCAGTGTTATTATTCTCTTTATGCCATTTTAAATGAAGCCCCTTAACATTGTTCTTAGGAAAGGCTTTTTAATTTTTAGAGAATTTTACTGACTGGTAATACAAAGGTAGCATCTGTGCTGTTTTAAATAAATATTTAGAGTCTTTCCATCAATTGTAAATATCACCACCTGCTCCTTTACTGTTGACTCTGCAATAAAATAAATTCTAGGTGATCATCTTCTGAGAAATAGAAATGAATTATCAGTGAGCATGCAGCTTCAAGGATAAATCGCTAGTACTTAGTTTGTCTTCTACTCTAAAAATGAAACTATCTTCCCTTTGTTACAATTTCAAATATTACTTCAGTAATATAGTACCTTCCAAGTGAATATGTGACATGAATCCTGAAAGGTTTTCCATCATGTGTTTGCATTTGCTCCTTAGGAATCAGTGGGATAAAATCAAAGTCAATTCTTATGTTTTTTTCCAGGTCCCTTTGTAGTTCGTGCTTTTCTTCGTAGTTCAACAAGTGAAGGTTTGCTACTAAAGACTGATCCATTGTTGCCTAAAGAAGTCGAAACCAAAGAAAGTAACAAAGAAGCTGCCTGATCATGTTGAATTTTGAAATTTTTTTCAGTGGATTAACAAAACAGATACAATTATAAAACTGCATAATATCTACGTGTAGTGTCTTGTGATTTCTTGATCACTCTTGAAAGTGAATTTTAACACCAAGCATTCTTACAGCAATCTCAAAAATAGAAAAAAATTTTCTCTGTGTCTGAACCTATCTTTTAAGTCCTGTCACATTTTCTTCCTTAGCATCCATATTTTACATATCGGTAGAATATAGATATAGAGGCCATTTCTAACATAACAATTTTCCTTTGGAAACCATAGCATCTGAGGGACTAGTAACACCTTCAATTCTCACAAGGCTGAGAATAATAGTCATGACTTTAAAACAAAACAGAAAATTCAGAAAATGTTTATTCTCAGGAATTCTGAATAACATTTGTGATAGCTTAAATATAGAAAATGCCTAAGCCATTAAAATGTGTGGGTGAAAGGCAATCCAGTAAATCATCAGGGACTACTTTGAGAATCTGTTTTCAAATAAGTTGGAAAATCTAGAAGAAATGAACAAATTTCTAGATATGTGCGACCATCCAAAACTGAACCAAGAGGATATTAATCACCTAAACAGGCCTATAACATGCAATGAAGTTGAAGCAGCAATAAAGAGTCTCCCCAAAAAGAAAAGTCTAGGACCTGGTGGATTCTCCACTGAATTCTACCAGACCTTTAAAGAAGAACTAATACCAACACTCCTTAAACTTTTCCACGAGATAGAAAGGGATGGAACACTGTCCAACTCATTCTATGAAGCTGGTATTACACTCATCCCAAAACAGACAAGGACACATCCAACAAAGAGAACTACAGGCCAATTTCCTTAATGAATATTGATGCAAAAATTCTCAAGAAAATAATGACAGACCAAATCCAACAACATATCTGAAAGATTATTCACCATGACCAAGTCGGGTTCATCCCAGTAATGCAGGGATAGTTCAACATATGCAAATCACTAAATATAACACAGCGTATTAACAGAAGCAGAGACAAAAGACACCTGATCATCTCAATAGATGCAGAAAAAGCCCTCAGTAAAATTCAACACCATTTCATGATAAAGATTTTGATGAAAGTAGCAGTAGAAGGAATGTACAGAATGTACTTCAAAATAATGAAGGTTACTCTTACACTGTTGGTGGGAATGTAGACTAGTACAACCACTCTGGAAAAAAATTTGGAGGCTACTTAAAAAGCTGGACATCGATCTACCATTTGATCCAGCAATACCACTTGGGGATATACCCAAAAGACTGTTACTCCAGAGGCACCTGCACATCCATGTTTATTGCGGCACTATTCACAATAGCCAAGTTATGGAAACAGCCAAGATGCCCCAGCACTGATGAATGGATTAAGAAAATGTGGTATCTATACACAATGGAATTTTATGCAGCCATGAAGAAGAACGAAATGTTATCATTCGCTGGTAAATGGATGGAATTGGAGAGCATCATTCTGAGTGAGGTTAGCCTGGCTCAAAAAACCAAAAATCGTATGTTCTCCCTCATATGTGGACATTAGATCAAGGGCAAACACAACAAGGGGATTGGACTATGAGCACATGATAAAAGCGAGAGCACACAAGGGAGGGGTGAGGATAGGTAAGACACCTAAAAAACTAGCTAGCATTTGTTGCCCTTAACACACAGAGAAACTAAATCAGATACCTTAAAGCAACTGAGGCCAATAGGAAAAGGGGAACAGGTACTAGAGAAAAGGTTAGATCAAAAAGAATTAACCTAGAAGGTAACACCCACGCACAGGAAATCAATGCGAGTCAATGCCCTGTATAGCTATCCTTATCTCAACCAGCAAAAACCCTTGTTCCTTCCTATTATTGCTTATACTCTCTCTACAACAAAATTAGAGATAAGGGCAAAATAGTTTCTGCTGGGTATTGAGCGGGGGGAGAGGGAGGGGGCGGAGTGGGTGGTAAGGGAGGGGGTGGGGGCAGGGGGAGAAATGAACCAAGCCTTGTATGCACATATGAATAATAAAAGAAAAATGAAAAAAAAAAAATGAAGGTTATATATGACAAACCTGTAGCCAACATCACACTTAATGGGGAAAAACAGAAACCATTTCCCCTAAAGTCAGGAATGAGACAATGAATGTAAATGACCTCTACAAGGAAAACTACAAACCATTGAAGAAAGAAATCAAAGATTACAGAAGATGCAAAGATCTCCCATGCTCATGGATTGGCAGAATCAACATAGTAAAAATGGCAATACTACCAAAAGCAATCTACATGTTCAGTGCAATTCCTATCAAAATCCCAATGACATTCATCACAGAGATTGAAAAATCTACCCTAAAGTTCATTTGGGAACACAAAAGACCACTAGTAGCCAGGGCAATACTCAGCAAAAAGAGCAGTGTTAGAGGTATCACAATACCTGAGTTCAAACTATACTACAGAGCCATAGCAATAAAAGCAGATGGTACTGGCACAAAAACAGATAAGAAGACTAGTGGAACAGAATAGAGGGCCCAGATGTTGCGGGGGGAAAAGGAACCTTCACACACTGCTGGTGGGAATGTAAACTAGTACAACCACTATGGAAAACACTATGGAGGCTCCTTAAAAAACTAGAAGTACATCTGCCATATGATCTAGCAATACCACCCCTATGGATATACCCAAAGGAATGTGAGTCAGGTTATAGCAAAGGCACCTGCACACCCATGTTTATTGTAGCACTATTCACAATAGCCAAGTTATGGAAACAGCCAAGATGCCCCACTACTGATGAATGGATTAAGAAAATGTGGTATTTATGCACAATGGAATTTTACGCAACCACAAAGAAGAATGGAATTTTGTCATTAGAAGGTAAATGGATGGAACTGGAAAATATCACTTTAAGTGAAGTTAGCCAGGCTCAGAAGTCCAAAAGGCACATGTGCTCCCTCATATGCAGGTTGTAGACTTAAAACAAATGCAGCATTTTTATGGGACACAGATCACACTAAGGGGAGGCTGTTGAAGGGAAGGATAAGGACAAGTGACCGAAACCCAAAACTTGAATGTGATTTATTTGCTCACTGTACAGGAATGAATATAGTAATCTTAAACTGGCCGGGGCCAGCATGGGAAGCGAACTAGAGAGGAGTGAAGAGGGCTGAAGAGACAAATCAATTGGAGCTGTAATACACATGCATGGGAACAACACAGGGATACTCCCCGTGTAACTATCGTTATCTCAAACTAGCAAAACGTCATGTTTCTCATTTTATCCTTTGTTTTTTCTTTTTATTTATTTATTTATTTTAGTTTTTGATTAAAAAAATTTTTTTCTTTTATTTATATGTGCATACAATGTTTGGGTCATTTCTCCCCCCTTGTTTTTTCTTATATAAAACTGTGGAATAGGTTCTGCCTGGCGGGGGGGAAGGGATAGGAGGATGAATATGCAAACAATGTATACACATGTATTTAAATGCAAAAATACCTATTGAAACTTCCAGTAATCAGGGGAGGGAGGAAATTCAAGTATGATATATTTGATGCATTGTAAGAATCTTTGCAAATGCTACAATGTACCTACACCCAGCACAACAATTAAAAAAAAATGTGTGTGAATTTTTCCATAGGAATCAAATTGTAATGATACATATTTTGTAATAATTATTATGTTTTTATCATACTTCTATATAAATACTATTTCCTCTTGAGTTACTCTGCTTATTGGCATAATAGGTGTTTGTTTAGTGCTTGTTGAATGAACATTCCATGAGGAAGCTAGAAAAACTCTTATGGACAAAAAAATCAGGCTAAGAAGTTAATGTGTCTTTCATCAAGTGAGAGTTACAGGCTAGTTTGATCCTCTTATCTTTATTTATTTTTTGGCAACACTGGGGTTTGAACTCAGGGCCTTAAAATTGCTAGGTAGGCGCTCTTACCTCTTGAACCACTCCACCAGCTGTAGTTTGATCCTTACGTGTTTATGAGTAGGTGAAGAAAATGAAGAAAGGTAAGGATTATGTTGTGATGTAATTACCAAGTGTCCTCCTTTCTTGGGAACGAATTTCGCTAAGACTGTCTTCTACTTTTTAGGTAGTGTTCAAATGCTTTTTCTTTTCTGAAATAATAGTATGGTAATAATGGTAACAATAGTGTAGGTGCAAGTTTTAATAACACCTAATTTGTGCGGAAAATTTTGACAGCTCACTGTATGTCTCCCAAGTTGTTTTTGCAATTTTAATTGTCTAGTATGTCCAAATAGCTATGAACAGCCACTATACTACTAAACTTTTTCCCACTGGAAAATTTAAATTCTGGGCCTTTATAAAATACAGTGGTAACATTACTATAAAACAATAGTAGCATTTATCTTTGATTGATTGCCTACTTATATCTTATGCATTATATCCTCTCATTTCATCCCCAGTGATTCAATGAGGAAGTGGTATTCCCATTTTACAGATGAGGAGACAGACTTGTGTGAGGTCAAGTAAGTGGCAATTTAGGTCTGTTTGCCTAACTCAGGATCCTCCTGCTTCAGCCTCCAGAGAGCACAGGCATGCATTACCACACTTGGCACCTTAGGCTTTCTTAACCATTCTTTTATCCATTAGGCTCTTTTACTACCTTTTTATATATTCTGAAATAAGTTGAACTGCTTAACTGAAGTTTTAATATTTTAAAATATTGAATAAATATTGAATACACTTCAGTTTCTTGGTGTGTCTGGTTAAGGGATTGTGGTAGGGCTGATGTGAAGAGTTAGAAATGAGTTAGGAATGGGATGAGAAAAAAAAAAGTGCAAAATGGAGAGGAAAAGAGACTTGTTTCCCACAATTACCATCTTTTGATTAGTTATTATTTGAAGATTCTACTCTCAAAGTAGAAGCTCTGTTGTTTTTCTTTTCTGGTGGGGGAGAGGGGTGAGGTGTAAGGAAACTGGTAGCCAAACTCAGGGCCTTGTCCATGTTAGGCAAGTGCTCTACCACTGAGTTACATCTCGTGGCCAAAAGTTCTGTTATTTTTATTTGTAGATTTTTCTACTTAATGGAGTATATTTTTAACAGTTCAGGTTCTCAAAACTAATGTAAAACAAGAAC